GGGAGAGGGAGGAGGAGGCGGAGAGGAATACAATTACCCCTGAGAATACTCAGAGATCAGGATGTGACGTGTTGATCCCAGGAGTGCTCTGGGAAGGGGGATGTGGGGGAGACTCACAGGGCGAGCATGCGTGTTGGATCTCCATGTCATCAGGGACCCAGCCAGTCCAGAGGCCTCCCACACACTTGATAGCAGAGTCCTGCTGCCTTTGCAAACTCGGACTCGGAGTAAGCAGCTTTACTCCTCAGTCTACTCCTCTGTCAAATGCCCGCCGTGAACCAGACTCACAGGGATGTGGCAGGCATAGAGAAATGATTCCCACGAAGCATGCAGGGCTGTGTCGGCTGAGAGCACTTCACTTGCTGCCGCCTCCCAGGCCCCCACCAAATGTGGAGCCCCCTAGTCGGACGGTCTGATCATCTGGAACCAGGGGGCTGCAGCTGCCCAGACCCCAGAGATGTGGCTGAGGCTGTTGTGGGGCTGGGTCCCATCGCTCTCCTGCCTGGTCTGTGCTTTTCATCGGGAGCCATCCTGTTCCTCCTTCACACCCACAGAAAAGTCTCCTAACAGCTGCTCCTCGGACCCTACCTGTGCACGTCAGCATTATCATTCTTCTACCTCTGAAATAAGTGTTAAGCATGGAAATTGTATCCTTCTTTCTAGAATCCTATTTCCATGATGATTGGGTTCTCCTTAATGGTTTCTAAAGTTGTTGAGTGTTACGGTTCAGATCTAAAATGGCCCCGAGCCTCGTGAGTGCAGAGATGGGCTTTGGGATGATGATTGCATGGTGGGGTCCCTGCGGTTGACTCACTGGTAGGAAGTGTCTCTCTCCCTCCTTGGTTCCTCCCTTTCCATTGTGCTTCCTGTGGGCCATGATGTGAGCAGCTTTCCCTCGCCATGCCCCTCTCGTGCCATTTCTCCCTTGAAGCCAGCCAACTAGGGACTGAAACCTCCAAAAACCATGAGGGTCAATAAACCTTTCCTCTCTGAAGATGTGGAAGTTTGGTGTTTTGTCTCAGCATCAAGAAAGTGACTAATGTCAGGGATTTAGCTCAGTGGTGCCACCACCTGTCTCGCAAGCACAAGGACCTGAGTTCAATCCCTGGTTAGAAAAATCAAAAAAAGAAAGTGACGAAGAGTGATTTTGGTACCAGAAAAGTGGGGTTGGTACTGTCGCTGTATCTGGTCATATGGCTCAGAAGCCTTTGGAACCTGAAGGAATCTGATCACCACCATCCTGGTCGAAGCAGAGACCACTTTCAATCGCTTCCCCCCGCTGTGCTTTTTTACCTGCCGATGTATCATTGCAGGTGGATAAGGTCCAGTAAGGACAGTGACATCCTATAATTCCCATCATTATTCAGCCCTGCTATTGAAAAACAACAAAATCTCCTCATATGTCCTGAAGTCTGGTTCTGGGCAGATAGCCACGACTCCCTTGAACTGAACTCCCATTCCTCAAAATCCCATTGTGACTTTTTCCTTCCACACCCCGCTTTTATGCTCATAACTCTATGAAGATCTTATAGCCTGTACTGGAGTTAGCTGGTCCAGTCTCTAGTGCCAGTGCAGTCCTTCTCAGGTTTGCTCTGAAATGAACCTGTCCTGTTGAGCTTGTACCCCTGCTTCTCTTCCTTTTTGTCCTAATGGACCCACCATAAAGGGGGATTTGGAATGATTTGGAGATGCTGGCTAGAGAAGCCCTATGCTGCTGTCAGTGCAGCCTGATGGGAAATCTGGCCAGACCTCAGAACCAGAACGCTGACAGAAGAGCACCGGTGAATGCCAGGCTTGGGAGATTTCAACTGGGAACAAAGAAACGATTTACAGTTGGACTCAAGGCCACGGGTGTTAAATTCTGTTAGAAAGTGTGTGCATTTTGCAGGAGACTGAGATTAATGGCTGCTGATTACTTAATCTGCAGAAGGTAATTTCACAACAGTCCAACACTCAGGCTGTCACATGGGTAATGCTGCTTGTCTTTAGACACATCTACCACGAGAATGAAGACCAAACATCAGAGCTGAATATCTGAAAAGGTTTTCCTGGTGGCCAGCAAAGAAGCTCCTATAAAATTAGGGCACGCAAGCCGGGGCCAAGGAGAGGATGATTGAAGAAAATAATTCATATGAATTGGAGCTAAGTACTTGGGATCAGAACAATAAGTATGATGCCTTGAGGGCATCTCAGGAATGAGCAAAAGCCCATCCTTTTCGTGCTTAATGGGGTCAAGTAAAAGTGAAAGAGTTTGCTTTCAGAAGAGAGCTCCAGGGATCCCAGTCCATTCAGGGCTAACTAGGAAAGAGTTTCCCAGAGATCAGCCGTGCAGATACTCAGAGGCTGCTGTAGCTAGGATGCAAGGGGGCCTGGGTACCGATCAAGCTGGCAGCAGACCTTGTTATGGTCCACATGGTGCTCATTTCTACAGGGATACAGAATGCGGGAGTTGTGGGGTCAGAGAGGCTTGCGTCCATATTACAAAAGAAGGTCTGGACGGCCAGGTAGTGTGCCTCTGAGAGGACAGTGCATGATGCTGTCAGAGTGAAGACAAAAGTGCAGTGGAGGCCCCAGGAATTTGGAGGAGTCAGCAAAGTGCACCATATCCTCAGGAAAACCGCACAGGCAGCAAGCAGCCACCCCAGCAGAAAGGCCAGGAGAGCTGCAACAAGTCCACCCAAACTCTAGTCACAACTTGCCCTGGGACAGGACATAGAACTGCAGGCTTTCATGTTTCCCCTGCTGGGATTCAGAATTGTCTTGGTCTAATTTCTCTCTATCCTCCTATTTCCCCCTTTTGGAATGGAGATGTTGACCCTGTGCCCTCCTGTGTTGGAAGTGCTCAGTTTTCATTTTGATTTTTATGGGGATTTACAGCTAAGAGGTTACCTTGAGTATCCAAAGAGACTTTGAACTTGGACTTTAGAGCAGTGCTTAAACTGTAAAAATGGAGTGACTCTTACAGATGGACTAAATACATTTTGCATAAATTATTTTGGGTGCTGGGAGTGGAATGTCATAGTTTAGATCTAAGTCGAGGGGCTGGGGATTTAGCTCAGTGGCACCTGGCCTGCCTTGCAAGCACAAGGTCCTGACCTTGATCCCATTTACAAACAAAATGTAGGTTGTCTCCCAAACTCCAAACAGCACAGGCAGTTGTGAACTCATCAGCTGATGGATCCATTGATAAATAGAGTGCTCCACGATGCGAGCACCTTCCAAAGGCCCGACCTCGGAGCGTGAGCTGTTTGGTGGATATTCCAGATCTACATCATAATATCCCACCCCTTGTCCCCAAAAGTCTTCTTTTCTCCATCTCATTACACAAACTATGTTTAGTCTATCACTAAGGGTCATGAAAATCCTAACAATTCCACCACTGCTGAAACATCACAGCCCAAAAGTCTCCTGAGATTTATGACAAACTCTTACCTGTAAGCCCCTACACAAATCAAAAGAAAGTCGAACACTTTCTACAATGGCACAGGGTAAACATTTCAATTCCATCAGGGGGAAAAGGGGGATAGAAAGGAATTAGACCCAGGCAAGGCCAAAACCCAGGACAAACATTAAATCCTGTAAGTGCGTGTCCGGCCCGTGAGGCGAGTTGCGGTGAGAGGTGAGCTCCAAAGGCCTTCAGCAGCCCCAGCCCTAATGCTCTTGCTGGCTGCAGCCCACGTGGCCTCTCTCAAGGGCTGACTCTACTCCCTGCCTGCGGATTGGCTCAGCAGACCTTCCTGTTGCTGGCATCTCCAACTTCGAGGGGTCTGCGCTGCACTTTCGGTTCACTCTCGCAGCTTCATGCCGTGCCCATAGTCAGCCACCAATCTGCGTAGTAGCCAGGCCCTGGTAATCCATGGCTACACTGGCCCTCAAGTGCCTAAATGGATGAACTTGGGGATATACTTCACCAGGTGACTCTGAATCACAGTCCTGCCATGAACTCTCTTCTCAAAGGAAAGATTTACAGTTACACCCTTGAGCCAGTAATCCCAAGAGTTCCTCTCCTTGGCTTTTGTTTTTTTATATGAATCTTCTAGGCAACCATTCTCTCGTTTGTCCCAACATTCCAGACACTTCCTTTCTGGTGAAAATGCAAAGTTTTGAAATCATTCAGTTCTACCTTTGCTCTGGCTAAAATCATCCAGCAGTACCTACACCACAATCCAAATGTTGGGCTGTCTTGAAAATTCCTCCACCAGATTAACTACTAATCTGAAACATTTTTTCTCAGTCTCCCACAAAGTCTCAGGACTTGACCTAAATCTGGACAAAATTTATGCCAGAACATAACGCGCACGGCTTCTAGTGGCCATGCCATAGAATTCTGGTTCTCAACTGAATCCTCATGACCCTTGAGTTTATTGCCTGCATTCCTATCAGCATTCTGGACTTAAGCTCTGAGAAGTATCAAACATCAAGCACTATTCTCAACCTTCTAGGGCTTCTCTAGCCAACACCTCCAAAGTCTTCCAAACTCCTCCACAAACCACTTTCAAAGGCCTCTTTCTGAATCACATGGTCAGGAACACTCAGAGGGCTATGAGTCTCAACTTATATTAGTCTTAGTCCTCGAGAGACAAAATATCCAACCCCTGCAACTTAAGGGACTGGATTTTTATCTTGGCTCATAATTTCAGTAGCCTCAGCCCATGTTTGGCTTGCTCCCAGATGTAGGCATGGTGGAAAGGCTGACAGCACCAGCCCAACATTACAGTCCTATGATCAATCCCATGGATCGCAGATAGATGATGGATAGATAGATAGATAGATAGATAGATTCAACCAGGTGCTGTCATGCACATTGGAAATCAGTGATAGGGAAATAAAATTCAAGAAGGATATATGCACTGCACAGAGCATTTATTTCAGTCAAATGAGGATTGAAACACAAGGTCAAATTCGGAAGCAAGTCTTGGATGGAAACTCCCCTACAGGTTTGGAGCTGGGAGAAAGCGGCATCCAGCGATCAACTCCAGAGGAGGGAGAGGGAGCAGGCAGGTGTGGCAGGGAGCAATTGAGCTTATAGCTCAGCGATAGCCTCAAGAGCGTCTGCAGCTCTGGACAGCAGGAGAAGCCCCGAAGGGGGCCCTCCTGGCCCAGGGTGGTCAGACCCAAGCTCATCACCTGGTGGAGCCCTGGCAGGAGCCACAGGGAAGGCTCTCTCTGCATACACAGCTCCGGATGCTTTGTGGGAATCGCTTCCCTCATGCCACTGGCAGCCAGGGACTCAGTGTCTGTTGTGTCCTTTTGGCAGAGGAGAAAAGGGAGAAAGTTGCTCATTCAAAGTCTGCACTCAGTTCTGCTGTCTGGCGGTGGGGCCACTCCTCTTCCATTTACAGGTGCACAGTGGCCTGAGAGTCCTCCCCAGAGAAATCCTGGGAGCTTCGGGGATGTCACTTCCGGATCATGACCTCTGAGTAGTCCGTGGTGCTGGCGTCCTTCAGGCTCTGAGGCTCCCGGGGCCTCAGTCCCAGAAAGCTGAGGGAGGCGTAATGCAGCTCCTTTTCCTCCCCTGTGGTCGCCATGGCAGATGATGGGCGGTCTGCCCCAGATGCATCCAGGTGACCCTGAAGATTTACTCATGGTTACCTGAGTTTACAGAGCCTCCTCACACCTAGGTCTCCTCACTCCCCCATTGCCTAGAATCTTAAAGATACTGTAAGTCTATGAGTTGGGCTGGTGCTTTCTTCTCATACAATACATCCACAAATTCCAAACTCTTGCAACTCTGAAAGGCACAGCGAGGGCCAAGGCGTTAGCTCAGTGGTTCCACTGCCTGCATGGCAAGCACAGGGTCCCCAGTTTGATCCCCAGTACAAAAAAGAAAAATGTACAGCGACTTCAGGTGGGTAGCGTGTATCCAAATTTCACACTGGCAATTGGTTTCCTTTGAGCCTAGTTGACAAAATCAGTTTCTGCTTCAGCCCAGGGAAGGGTAGCCTGAAGACACTCACCTGAGCGGACTTGAACGTATAAACACCCTCAGCCCAGACCACAGTGAGTCTCCTCCTGCATGCGCCGCTCTCCCTCTCTCCGTGTGTGCTCTCTGACTTGGCCTGATCCTGCCTACGCCCGGCACTGATGTGGCCCGCGGTGCATTTCTAGACTAAATCAAATCCAACAGCCTCCAGGGTGAGGTGAGGCACTCATTCTTGTCCTCTTCAGGGAGGCGTCCTCAGACCCCTCCAGGTGACACTCCACAGCGCCCCTTCCTTCCGACTCCCTCAGCACACGCGTGATCCTCATCGTGCCTGGACCTCAGTAATGGCTTAGGTCATCGACATCCTCACCGAAGCCCACCGGGAAGCACTACCAGCTCCCTTTCCCCGGTGGGAGTGCGTATTCCCCAACCGCCCATGCAGTTACTGCTCAGAAGCAGATCAGAGTGGAGTTCTGTGTCCCACCCCGCCTCCCAGCCACGGCTGGGCGTTTGGCTCTGATCCACTCTTGGAGGTCGTCACCTTTCACCTGGTGTCTCTCAGGTTACCCACCAGAGAGCTAAAGCAAAAACTGACTTCATTGACTAGGTTCAAAGGAAAGCAACTGCCTGTGTGGGAAATTTAGAGGCATGGTGACTCCGATCACCCCCTCTGTGTCACTCACAAGGACGACCCAGAGCTCATGCCTGCTCCCCAGGACCTGTCCGGGGTGTCTCCTCCCTTGGCTGATGCTCAGCTGCTTGTTCCCATGGTGACAGTGGGCATCCCTGAGGACACAGCTGCAGGGAGCTCCGGTGGCCCTCTAGGGAGTCACCAACTCTGAGAATGTGCTCAGGGAGCTGGCTCCTTCGCTGTGTCAGAAGGAGGGCGGCCCTGGAGACTCCTGAGATTGTATGTCCCCCGGACGAGGGACAGCTGCATTGAGGCCCCAGGAACGAACACTGGTTTAGGCTTCAGGAACCTCCGTGTCATTGCAAAGGATGTAGCCTTGGTCATACGTGTGGGTCACGGCACCAGGAGGGATCCTCACTCACCCCACAGACAGCACTCGGGGAGCAGGATGCGTCCTTCTCTGTGGCCACCGTCCTGGCCGAGTCTTTCTGGGGAGTTTTCATCCTGAGGGAGGAGGCAGGACCTTGCATCTTTCCCTGGCTCACAGTGCTCAGTGGGGCTGCTGTCCCCCGCTTAGTAGGTGCTACACAGCCACCTGAGGCTGGGGAGGTGAGGGGCGCCTCTCACAGGTCACCCGCACAGTGAGATCTGGGACCGCGCAGGGTGGGCAGGGTGGTCGGGATGAGGGTCTGGGCACACACTGTGCTCTCATTGTCTCAGCAAACTCCTAGTCTCCCAAGCACAGTCCTGAGCCCCGCCCTGCCCTACCTTCTGTCCCAGGACCACACTCACCTGGAGTAGAGGAGGCAGGCACAGAGACAGAGCAGAGCAGCGACAGCAGCTCCCCCAAACGCTGCCAGCACATATCCACCCCGACTCTCTGGCTTCCCTGCAGAGAGGCACGATTCAGAGGGTGACCCTCCAAAGTTCTCAACTCTCCTGTCCTCTTGCTCCATAGCTCTTACTTCCATGTTCTCCAACACCCAGGCAGTCCAGGAACAGTGAGTGACGCTGTGGAACAGCCCCCTCCGTTTCCAGACCCAACAGGTGTGAGGCAGCCCTGAGCCTTATCCTTCTTCAGATCCACCTCCCTCTGCCCTAAGACCAGACCCACGGGCCCTCAACTGGCAGCCACAGGACTGTGGTGCTCTGGATCCCGTGAACATTCATGGCTCACAGCTGAGCCTGAGGCTTGAGCTCAGTCCCCCGTGGAGGCTCAGGCAGCTGTTGGCCCAGGGCCCGGCCCAGCTGGGGGTGACCCTGAAGGAGTCATTGAAGTTGTTCCGGTCCAGCAGCTCCTCCCTGAGCCGCCAGGGAATGAGCAGGCCCAGCCCAGGAAGAGCAGCTGCAGTCCAGACCCTCAGGCTCCGAGGAGCACCAGGGGCCCAGCAGCTGGGGACATCTGTGGGAGGGAGAGGAGAGTCACAGGGTCCCTTTTCGCAGTCCCTGGCTTCCCTCCTGACTCACAGTGCACAGAGAGGCTGAGAGAGACACTCCGGGTGCCCAGCGGGTTCTCCGCGTGGCAGGTGACTTCCCCTTCATGCTCCATCTGCACCCGGGGCAGCTCCAGGACCCCAGGGGCTGAGGACCAGGAGGAGCTCAGGGACTGTGTCCCCCGGGCCCAGCTCAGCCTGGCTGGGGGGCTGCTGTGGGTGACACACACCAGGCGCAGGCTCTGGCCCTCCAGCACGGGCAGGGATGTGCCGTTCCCGAGGATTTCCAGGACTGGGGAGGGCAGAGGCAGAATCCATGTGCTGCTCTAACACCTGGGCCCCCAAGGGGCCATGGGGAGGCCCTGGTCCCTCTCTCCCCCTCCTACCTGTCCTGTTTGCTTGGGAAACTGTCACTCTCGGGTCCTCCGGGGGATCTGCAGTGGAGATGGGAGCGGCTCTGGAGGGCTGGGGCTGCCCTCTGGGCAGAGAGGGAGGTGGTGGGAGGGCACAGCCAGCCCCTGGGTCCCCACACACTGCCCACCCATCAGGCAGATGAGAAGCCTGGTCCTGCAGGCCTGGGGTTCCAGCCCCTCACTGCTCTGGGACCTGCCCGTCCCCTGTCCCCACCCTGCCCTCCCAGAACAGGCATCCTGGTCACTCACACTGCACGGAGAGCTCCAGGGAGCTGTGCTGGGAGCCCAGCCTGTTCTCTGCCCGGCAGCTGTAGCGCCCCGCGTCCTCAGGCTTCACCCCAGGTAGATCCAGCCTCAGAGGTTTGCTTCCTGAGGTTTGGGCCTGAGCAAGGACTCTGCCCTCCAGGTCCCAGGTCAGCGTGGCAGGGGGCCGGCTGTCAGCAGCGCAGAGGAGCCGCAGGAGCTGGCCTTTCTGGGCCTCCACACGGGAACCATTGCCCTGGGCGTCCGGGGCTGGAGAGACAGAGATGGGGGAAAACACAGGCAGAGAGGGCAGGGAGAGAGGACCAGACAGAAACGGAACTGAGCCAGAATCAAAGGCACTGAAGCTCAGTTCTTTTCTCTACATTTCTGCTTGAGAGGAAAGTAACCTCCACCAGTCATTTCGAAGCAGCTCTGCCAGATAGTGGTTGGATTGGGTACATCCTCGTCAATCTTGTAGAAGGGTCTCTTTTCACCCCAGCCTCTCCAGCCTTCGTTCTTATTTGATATCTGAACGGTGTCCACTCCTTCTGGAGGAAGATGGAATCTCAGTGTTTCTTGGATAAGCATTTCTCCCATTGTCCTCACATTGAGGATTTATGCATGATTTGGGGCCATTTGTACTTCTTCTCCTCTGTGAAGTATCTGCTGTCATTTGACCATTTTTTGATTTTTTTTTTTTTTGCAGGCTCTAAATTTTTTTAGTTCTTTACATACTCTGGATATCAATCCTCTGTTTCTGCAAAATTTTTCGCATGTGTCAATAGTTTTTTGAGTCTGTTGGTCGTTTATTTGCTGTACAGAAGCTCTTTATTTCACGATGATCCCATTTGTTGGTTGTTGGAACCGTTTCTTACGCAAACGGGCTCTGTTCAGAACGCCCTGTCTGTGCCTCTGTATACTTCACACACGGGTCACTCCATGCACACACGGCTTCCAGTGTGCAATTGGGTGGCTTGTGCCATTCTCAGAGCTGTGCACCGACCACCGCAATCTTAGAAGATCTGAGCCACCCCAGAGAGAAGCCGGGACCCCGAGCGGTCTCCCCAGTCCTCCCTCCCACCCCAGGCAACACCAGCCCTCGGTGTCCGTGTGGACGTTCCGCAGGCCCGGTGTGAACCTGCCATCTGCCTTGTCTTGCTCAGCAGCAGGGGTCACCTGTGTGCAGCTGCAGACTGAATGGGTTCGGCTTCCTGGCTGAATTACCGTCCACGGTGTGAATCCGCCACATTCTCTGCCTCCATCGGGCCGTGCCGTTCCCTGACGCCTCTGATCCATTTCTCTCCGTCCACGTCTCTCTCCCGCTGGGGCCACGCACCACCACGGACCTCATTTAGCTCTCAGTCCCAATCCAGCCATCGCCTGTTCCAAGGCTCCTGAGGACCCAATGCCACGGCTCCCCCTGTCCCCAGTTCCTCGGGATGAGTGGGCTGCGCTGACATCCACACAGGACCCGGCTGAGCCGAGCTCAGGGGCCTCCCTAGGCAGCACCGCTTCCCGTCAGAGGTGACTGGAGACTCAGTGTCCCCGGGGCCTCCCAGAGGACTCTGTCCTGGTCCTGTCCAGTGGCCTGAGGGATTGGCCTCCAGGGACCCGGCCGTTCCAGTTCTGGGTGTGAACCCAGAGTTCTGTTAGCTCTGTCAGCTCCTGCATCCTCCAGCGGCCCCCTAACGGGTCCCCGTGAGCGGATTAGGAATGAGGACCCAGCCCCTGTCCCGCGTCCTGAGTCAGG